TTCTTCTTAGTGTCATGGGTCTTTATATTTTCATGTGTTTTGTAAAGTGACTGGTACTGGTTTTTCCTTTCCATATTTAGTGCTTTCTTCAGGAGTACTTTGCAAGTGCAGGCCTGGTGGTGACAAATTTCAGCATTTGCTTGTCTGAAAAGGACTTTACTTCCTTGCTTATGAAGCTTAGTTAATGTAGATATGAAGTTCTGGGTTGAAAATTCTTTTTACTAAGAATGTTGCATATTGACCCCACTCTCTTCTGGCTTGAAGGGTTTCTTCTGAGAGATCTGCTGTTAGTTTTATGGGCTTCCCTTTGTGTGACCTGCCTTTCTCTCTGGCTGCCCTTAACATTTTTTCCTTTATTTTGACCTTGGAGAATCTGATGGTTATGTGTCTTGGGTTGGATCTTCTCGTGAGCATCTACTGGGGTTCGTATTTCCTGAATTTGAATGTTGGCCTGTCTTGCTAGGTTGGGAAAGTTCTCCTGGATAATATCCTGAAGTGTGTTATCCAACTTGTTTCCATTCTCCCTGTCTCTTTCAGGTACGCCAATCAGTCATAGGTTTGGTCTTTTTACATAGTCCCATATTTCAGAGGTTTTGTCTATTCCTTTTCCTTCTTTTTCTCTAATCTTGTCTGCCTGCCTTATTTCAGCAAGATAGCATTCCATCTCTGATATTCTTCTTCCATTTGATCGATCTCGCTATTGATACTTGTGTATGCTTAACGAGGTTCTCATGCTGTGTTTTTCAGTTCCATTAGGTCATTTATGTTCCTCTATAAACTGGTTATTCTAGTTAGCAGCTCCTGTAACCTTTATCAAGGTTCTAGCTTTGCATTGGGTTAGAACATGCTCCTTTGCCTCAGCGAAGTTTGTTATTACCCACCTTCTGAAGCCTACTTCTGTCAATTCGTCCATCTCATCCTCCCGCCCAGTTCTGCTCCTTTGCTGGAGAGGTGCTGCAGTCATTTGGAGGAGAAGAGGCACTTGGCCTTCAGGTTTTCAGTGTTTTCTGTTGATTATTTCTCATCTTCATGAGTTTGTCTCATTTCGACCTTGAGGCTGCTGACCCTTGGATGATGTTTGTGGGAACTTTTTTGTTGATGCTGTTGTCATTGCTTTCTGTTTGTTTTTCTTTCAGTAGCCAGATCCCTTTTTCGGTAGGGCTGCGATTTGCTGGGGTTCACTTCAGGCCCTTCATCTGGTTCGCCTCCTGCACCTGAAGATGTCACTTGAGGAGGCTGGAGAACAGCAAAGATGGGTGCCTGCTCCTTCCTCTGGGATCTCTGACCTTGAGGGGCACCTAACTGATGCCAATAGGAACACTCCTGTATAGGGTGTCTGACAATTCCTTTGGGGCTCTCTACCCAGTTGGGCACGGGAAGCAGGACCCATTTAATGATGCGCTTTGGCTGTGCCTTGGTGGAGGGGGTGTGGTTTGCTGGGGGAAACCCACCTCATCTGGGCTGCCCAGATTCCTCAGAGCCAGCAGCAGAAAAGACTACATCTGCTGGTTCACAGAGACTGTCTTCTTTTCTACTGGAGATTTTTTTCTGTTGCTTTCTCCAGGCAAGTCTCTAAACTACTGACCTGGAGCAGGTTTTATTGACCAGACCTCACCCTGGGGCTCATCTGGCAGCAGCTGCACCGCCACTCCTGATGCAGGCTGTGCTGTGAGTCTGAATGTTTCCCTTTCCTACAGGGACCATTTAGTCTCCACGGCAGGAAACTGCTCTCATCTTTGTACCTCTCAGTGGCTGTTTTAAGAGAGGAGTATTTGCAACTTGAGCAAGAAAGACTGTCACTTCAAATCACATCAGATATGTGAAATTTCATTTTGTTTCTAGATTTCTTGAAAACAGATTGATGACACCTTTTCATTTGAAAAGGACATCCACATTACAGTATTTTAAAAACAACTAATTTATGTCATTGACAATTTACTTTTTGAGGCTTATGTGTACAGCAGAGCTCCTCAACCAGACGCTGGTACTCTCTGCAGAATATTAACCTTATTTCTGCTCTGGGTGTTTTGAACTTGGCTAATTACCAAAAATCTCCTTCTTCTGATTAAGAGTTTTAAATCTGGCTACTGTCACCTTGGAGAAACAGCTCTGTTCAAAGAAGGAGCAGTGCCCTAGCCTTGATGTTCATGTTCCCTAAGGGGACAACACCTCCTGATACGTGGAAAAAGGTTTTCAATCAATCACCAAATACCACAAATCTCTTGAAATTGAGTTTATTGTTGCATCATAATAACTGTATGGGAAAGAATTTTAGCATCAACATAAGAAATAGCTTTGTTATTGGGCTTTTCTTTTTTTTTTTTTTTTTTGAGTCAAGGTCTGACTTTGTCAGCTAGGCTGGAGTGCCAGGCAGCAAGGTTCCTGGGCTTTTCTAGATGGGAAACAGAGAGAGAGGAGGGAAAAAGAGAATCACAAGTAAGAAATTTAAGGGGATGGGATTAGGAGATGGGTTGAGCAGAAAAAACTGACATGAGTCAGTACAAGACTAAGGAGAAGCAAAGAAGATGATGAAAAGGAAGAAGGCTACACATCTACTAGGGAGTGTTTGAAAAATACATGTATAGGACATAAGGGTAATTTGATTTTTTTAAATGCTTAATGTACATGCATTTTAATTAAACATTGTTGTGAGACTAAAACATGTGAATCTTATTTTTAGGCTTTATATGGGAAAGTAGAAGGTGTAATTCAACAGTAATTCCATTCATAGTTCTTCCAGAATAGGCCGAAACAGTGGGTCATGGCTCTAATCCCAGAACTTTGGGAGGCTGAGGCAGGAGGATCCCTTGTGCCCAGGAGTTCAAGACCAACCTGGACAACATAGCAAGACTCCCATCTCCACAAAAAAAAAAAGAATTAGCTGGGCATATGAAGTGCTTGTGGTCCTAGCTACTTGGAAGGCTGAGGAGAGGATTGCTTGAGTTCTATAGGTCGAGGCTGCAGAGAGCCCTGAGTGTGCCACTGCCCTCCAGCCTGAGTGGCAGAGCAAGATGCTGTCTCAAAAAACAAAACAAAACAATCTTTGGAGGCAAACACAATGGCGACAAGATGTTGGCAAGTGTTATTCATTGCAGTATTCACTATCAGTAGGTGCCTGCATATGTGGGCAAAAACCTTAGCTCTGGTTAAATAAATAAACACCACACTCATCATTGTAATAAGAGCTTCAACTTCACTGAGCTTAAACTCTCAAGTCTCACGATGTTTTTCTGTCTTCTATTTAAAGAAAATAGTAATGTGACAACACCGCTTCCCTCATCCACTCCAAGTAGCCGTATTTCTACAAAGAGCATTCCTCACGAGACATCCCCTTCAGGTGAAACAACCACCTCACCCCATTCCAGTGTGAGCAACACATTCCTGATGACATCACAGATGCAAACAATGAAAATGTCCACAGACTCCACTCCAGAACCACAGGGAAACAACTGAAGTAAAATCCTACTGCAGTCACTCCTCAGCAGGCTCAGTAGCAATGACACTAGAGGACAATCAACTGCAACTTATTCAAGGACCTCTAATCAGGACATATCAGCTTCATCTCAGAACCACCAGACTAAGAGCATGGAGACCACCAGAGAACGGAAACTGCACCTCACACAGATGGCCACATTAACTTTTTTCTGTCCTCCCCAAGTGTACACAATGACAGACTGTTTCTCAGAGACATCTACTCCAGGTAAAACAATGACCTCATACCCTCGAGTTTCAGCAACACACCTGTGATGACAGCATCCACAGACTCCACTCTGGAAACACAGAGGAGACATCAACACTGGGAACTAAAGTCCTTTTTCCCACTGGCCTCAGCAGCCTCCATAACAGCTGAGACAAATGGGCAATCAACTGCAGCTTTGCTGAGACATCTATTCAGACAACCAGCTTTTTCCCAGAACCACCGAACTCACAGCACGCAGACCACCAGAAAATCTCAAATCAGCACTCTCACACAGATGATGACATCAACTCTCTTCTTCTCTCCAAGTACACAATGTGACAGGACTGCTTCCCAAGAGGCAACTCCTCCAGGTGAAACAACCACCTCATCCCCCTCCAGTTTCAGCAACACACCCCCAATGACAACATCTACAGACTCCATTCTGGAAAACAGAGGAGACATCAACACCTGAACTAAAGTCTCACCTGCGTATCCTCAGTAGAGTCCATAACAGCTGAGCCAGCAGGACAATCAACAGCACCTTCCTCAAGGACTCTACCTGTGACATATCAGCTTCTTCCTCAGAACCACCAGTCTCATAGCACAGAGACCACCAGCGAAGCTCAAACTGGCACTCTACACACAGATGATGACATCAACATTCTTCTTCCCCAAGTGTACTCAATGTGACAGACGCTGCTTTCTGGGAGACATCCCTACAGATGAAATGACCACATCATTTCCTCCAGTGTCACCAACACACTCATAATGACATCAAAGACTATAACAACGACAACCACCACAGACTCCACTCTTGGAAACACAGAAGACACATCAACACCAGGAACTGAAAGTTCTACCCCAGTGACCTCAGCAGTCTCACTAACAGCTGGAACTGGAAGGACAATCACAAACAATGTCCTCATGACTTCTATCCAGGACACATCAGCTTCTTCACAGAACCACCAGACACAGAGCACAGATAACACCAGAGAGTCTCAAACCAGCACCCTCACAGAGATGTCCACATTACCTCTTCCATCCTCCCCAAGTGTACACAATACGACAGCAACTGTTTCTCAGAACACACCTCCTCCGGGTGAAACAACTGCCTCGCCTTCCAGTGTCATGGACACATCCATGATGACATCAAAGATGATAACAGTGACAACCTCCACAGACTCCACTCTTGGAAACACAGTGGAGACATCAACACTGCTTACTGGAAGTCATAGGTCAATCACCTCAGCTGGCCAATGACAGCTGAGCCAGAAGGACAATCACCAGCAACTCTCAATGACCTCTCTTCCTGACACAACAGGTTTTTCAGAACCACCAGACTCAGAGCATGGAGACCACCAGAGAATCTCAAACCAGCACCCTCACACAGATGCCCACATCCACTCTTTCTTACTCCCCAAGAGTACGTAACGTGACATGGACTGCTTCTCAGAGACATCTCCTCCAGGTGATACGACCACCTCATCACCCTCCAGTGACACACCCGTGATGACATCCAAGGTTATAACAATGACAACCTCCACAGACTCCAGCCTTGGAAACACACAGGGAGACATCAACACCGCTACTGGAAGTCTGATGCCAGTCACATCAGCAGTCTCAACAGCTGAGCCAGAAGGACAATCAGCAACTTCTTCTGGAGGACCTCCTACTAGACACATCAGCTTTTTCTCAGAACCACCAGTCTCAGAGCACGGAGACCACAAGCGAAGCTGAAACTGCACCTCACACAGAGATCCACATCAACACTTTCCTCTTCCCCAAGTGTACTCAATGTCACAGAGACTGTTTCTCAGGAGACATCCCCTGCAGATGAAATGACCACCCCATCTCCCTCCAGTGTCACCAGCACACCCATGATGACATCAAAGGTTATGACAATGACAACCTTTACAGAGTCCACTTTTAGTAACCCTGAGGAGACGCTGACACCTGGAACTAAAAAGTCCTACTCCAGCCCCCTCAGCAGCAACCATCACAGCTGAGATGGAAGGACAATCAATAGCACCTTCCTCAAGGACCTCTACCCAGGACATATCAGCTTCTTCTCAGAACCACCCATCTCAGAGCACAGAGACCACCAGTGAAGCTCAAACCAGCACCCTCACACAGATGATGACATCAACACTTTCCCTCTTCCCGTGTATCAATGTGACGGAGACGGGAGCCTCAGAAGACATCTCTCCAGATGAAATAACCACATCATTTCCCTCCAGTGTCACCAACACACTCATGATGACATCAAAGACTATAACAATGATTAACCTCAACAGACTCCACTGTTGGAAACACAGAAGAGACATCAACACCAGGACCTGAAAGTTCTACCCCAGTGACCTCAGCAGTCTCAATAACAGCTGAACTGGAAGGACAATCACAAACAACTTCCTCGAGGACCTCTACGCAAGACACATCAGCTTCTTCTCAGAACCACCAGACTCAGAGCATAGAGACCACCAGCAAAGCTCAAACTGGCACCCTCACACAGATGATAACATCAACTCTTTCATCCTCCCCAAGTGTACTGAATGTGACAGAGACTGTTTCTTGGGAGACATCCCTTCCAGATGAAATGACTAATATCATTTCCATCCAGTAACAACACACCCAGGATGACATCAAAGACTATAACAATGACAATCCCTTTTATAGACTCCACTTGGAAACATAGTGGAGACATCAACACCAGGAACTGAAAGTTCTACCCAAGTCACCTCAGGAGCCTCAATAACAGCCGAGCCAGAAGGACAATCATCAGCAACTTCTTTGAGGACCTCTACTCAGGACACATCAACTTCTTCTCAGAACCACCAGTCTCAGAGCACGGAGACCACAGGCGAAGCTGAAACTGCACCCCCACACAGAGATCCACATCAACACTTTCCTTCCCCAAGTGTACTAATGTCACAGAGACTGTTTCTCAGGAGACATCCTCTGCAGGTGAAATGACCACCCCATCTCCCTCCAGTGTCACCAGCATACTCCATAATGACATCAAAGTTTATGACAATGACAACCTTTACAGAGTCCCCTTTTAGTAACACTGAGGAGATGTCGACACCTGGAACTAAAAGTCCTGCTCCAGCCCCCTCAGCAGCATCCATACCAGTTGAACCAGAAGGACAATCAACAGCACCTTCCTCAAGGACCTCTACCCAGGATATATCAGCTTATTCTCAGAACCACCAGTCTCAGCGCACAGAGACCACCAGCGAAGCTCAAACCAGCACCCTCACACAGATGATGACATCACTTTCCTCTTCCCCAAGTGTACTCAATGGGATGGAGACTGTTTCTCAAAAGACGTCTCCTGCAGATGAAATGACCACATCATTTCCCTCCAGTGTCACCAACACGCTCATGATGACATCAAAGACTATAGCAATGACAACCTCCACAGACTCCACTCTTGGAAACATAGAAGAGACATCAACACCAGGAACTGAAAGTTCTACCCCAGTGATCTCAGCAGTCTCAATAACAGCTGAACTGGAAGGACAATCACACACAACGTCCTCAAGGACTTCTATCCAGGACACATCAGCTTCTTCGCAGAACCACCAGACACAGAGCACAGACACCACCAGAGAGTCTCAAACCAGCACTCTTACACAGAGAACCACATCACCCCTTCCTTCTCCCCAAGTGTACACAATGTGAAAGGGACTATTTCTCAGAAGACATTTCCTCCAGGTGAAACAACTACCTCATCCCTCTTTAGTGTCACAAACACACCCATGATGATATCAAAGAAGAGAATAATGACAACCTCCACAGACTCCACTCTTGGAAACACAGGGGAGACATCAGTACCTGTTACAAGAAGTCTTATGCCAGTCACTTCAGCAGCCCCAATAACAGCTGAGCCAGAAGGACAATTACCAGCAACTTCCTCAAGGACTTCTACTCAGGACACAACAGGTTTTTCTCAGAACCACCAGTCTCAGAGCACAGAGATCACCAGCGAAGCTCAAACTGACACCCTCACACAGATGACATCAACTCTTCCTCTTCTCCCAAGTGTATTTCACGTGACGGAGGCTGTTTCTCAGAAGACATCTCCTCCAGATGAAATAACCACATCATTTTCCTCCAGTGTCACCAACACACTCATGATGACATCAAAGACTATAACAATGACAACCTCCACAGACTCCACTCTTGGAAACACAGAAGAGACATCAACACCAGGAACTGAAGTTCTACTCCCAGTGACCTCAGCAGCCTCAATAACAGCTGAACTGGAAGGACAATCACGAACAACTTCCTCAAGGACCTCTACGCAAGACACATCAGATTCTTTGCAGAACCACCAGACTCAGAGCATAGAGACCACCAGAGTATCTCAAATCAACACCCTCACACCGGTTACAACATCAACTGTTTTATCCTCACCATGATTCAACCCAAGTGAACAGTTTCTCAGGAGACATTCCCTCTGGTGAAACAACCACCTATCCCCCTTCCAGTGTCAGCAACACATTCCTGGTGACATCAGAGGTGTCTAGAATGCCCACCTCCAGAGACTCTACTCTTGAAACACAGAGGAAATATCACTACCTGTAAGGGGAACCATTTCTGCAATTATCAGAGTTTCAACCATATGGTTGTCAGACACACTGTCAACAGCACTCTCCCCCAGTTCTTTACCTCCAAAAATATCCACAACTTTCCACACCCAGCAGAGTGAAGGTGAGAGACCATAGACGGCCTCATGAGAGGAGTCTGCCCCAGGTGTGTCTCGCGACATTTCCTCCACATGAAACCATAACATGCCTTCCTCATTCTCCAGTGAAGACCGCACAACTCGCCTTCACCAAAAGAACTGCCTCAACACCAACAGGCTGCCACAGGCTTGTCACAGGAACCAATAGTGCCAGGACAGCTGGCACTATTCCAAGGGTCTCCTGAGGTCTCAACAATAGGGATTCAAGACAGCCCACCACACCCTCCCACAGCACAACTCTCTTGAAACAACAGGGCAGGTGCCCAGACACAATGGACAAGAAACGGGGACCACTGGAGAGGTTCCTATCAACAGCCCAAGCTACAGTGTGTGACTAGATGATAAATACAACCCCCATCTTCTTCACTTCTAAGTGCTGAATGGACACACATCACAACAAATTACAATGGCACCATCAACAAATCATTCAACAATACATTCCACAAACACCTCTCCTCAGGAATCACTGGCTGTTTCCCAGAGAGGTCACACTCAAGCCCCGCAGACCACACAAGAATCCCAAACCACAAGGTCCATCTCCCCTGTGACTGACACCAAGACAGTCACCACCCTAGGCTCTTCCTTCACAGCCAGTGGGCACTCATCCTCAGAAATTGCTCCTCAGGACGCACCTACCATAAGTGCAGCGACAACCTTTGCCCCAGCTCCCACTGGGGATGGCCTCACACAACTCAGGTTCCCAACCACAGTACTGCAGGCGGCACCCAGCGGTCCTGACTCCACCCTGGCGCCCTCAGGAGGTGCATCACTTTCCATAACAGGTGCTCTTCCTGGTGTAGTGTCAACACCAGGGGTCCTAGAAGGACGATGGACATCAGCCTCTGCCAGCACCTCACCTGACACAGCAGCAGCCATGACCCAAACCCACCAGGCTGAAGGCACAGAGAGGCCTCTGGAGAAGACAGACCAGTGAACCGGCCTCCTCGGGTCGGGCACCACCAGAGGGCACAGCTACCCTTTCCCTCATCCAGGGCGAGCGGCACAACACCTTCAGGAAGCTTAAGGAATATCCATCACAGAGTGACCACATGGTTCTCACCAACCCCTCCAGGGACAGTCACACAACCCAGTCAACAAACTGACCATATCTGCCTCAGCCAGTCATGATGCTACCCCAGTAAGTTAACAGGAATGGTGTCTGCGATTGTCCCCAGCACCTTCCTGTCACTCCTCTGAGGCCTCCACTGCAGGGAGACCGACAGGACACTCAAGCCCAACTTCTCCCAGTGCCTCTCCTCAGGAGACGGCCGCTACTTCCCCAGATGGCGCAGACTCAGAGGACAGGAACCAGCAGAGGGTCTGACACCATCAGCCTGGTGTCCCAGGTGACCGACACTTTCTCAACAGTCACACCCACACCTCCTTCGATCACATCCAGTGGGCTCACATTTCCACAAACCGAGACCCACGCTCTGTCACCTTCAGGGTCTGGTACAACCTTCAACATGGCCCTCATCAGCAACAGCCATGGCACCCAGACAACAGTGCCAACCTCGTCACCTGGGACCACGGAAGGGCCACACTCCAGGTCAGTTCCAGCACCCTGAGTGATGGCGCCTCTCATTCTCCCCCACAGTTGTGTCCACCAGTGAGGGTGTTCTGACCACAGGCAGGAGCTCAGTCATCCATGAGACTGTACCCGCAGTGGTCTTACCCCGTACATTCTGGTAATGCCTTAACGTATTACCACGCTGGTGCTCAGACCGCCAGTGGGCGCTCAAGCACGCCCAGCCCTGAGCACCCGGGAAGCTACAAGGTGACCCCCACCCAACCCCCATGATAAGGTCCACGCACAAGAGTTCTACAAGCAATCATAGTGGCACAATGAATTCTACGCCAACCTCGTCATTCTCCCCTACCACCTACCTGTCAATCCAGACCACTCTGGAAGCTTCTTCAGCATCTAAGTATCCTAAGAACACATTTCCCACGCCACAGCCATCCAGAGACTCAGCTTCCTCCAGTGACGTGAACACAGCTCAGACCACACTGACTGTCTCTACTTCCAGCAGTCACTCTCCATTCTCTCCAGCATTCCCTGGCCCTGCTGTCACGTCAAACTCCACCACACCCTACTCACAGGTCATGCCACCCCTCTTGCCGCCAGCAGCGCATCCTCAGCATCCACAGTATCCTCGGGCTCCCCTCTGAAGACGGAAACATCAGGTAGCTGCCATCTGCCTTGTCTTCGTCTCTCCCAGTGGCCCCCTTGGCTGAATTCGGCCTAAGGAGTACTGGAGAACACTGGCGCATTCACAGTATCCGTGGACTGAGTCAGGTCCCACAGAGGAGGAGGTGATGGGTGTGGTGGGTGACAGGCTTACCCCACTCTGCCCCAGTCGAAACTCCGCTCGATGTCGAGAGTGGTTTGGAGAAGTGACCAGCGGACAGACACGGAGTTTCCAGCTCCTCTTCCAGCTCCTGATTTCTTTGAATCTCTTTGACTCTGCTGTTCTCTTACTGTAAGAACCACCCCTGCCTTCTCTTTTCACGTGTCCAGGAATGACGCATAACGTCAGTGAAGACAGGCAGCGAGAGTGGCCGAGTCACCTCACTACCCCCGACCACCTCCCAGACTCAAGCACAGCCACATCCACACCCCCAACGACTCCCGAGACCGCCACCTCCACCACAGCCCCATCCCCACCCCGACCACCAGGCCGGCCACCTCCGCCACTCCCAGCACTGCCACGCACACTCCGCCTCCACAGCTGCTCCCCGTCCCCGTCCCGTCTGAGAAAGGTGAGGAGGCCGTGCAGGTGAGACATGTGCGTTTTGAGCGGTGACGTAACTGATGGCCTTCTCAGCCTGCTTTCCACAGTCTTTTTTGCTCTTTCGGTCGGGAGGGCCTTTTACTGAGGACAGGACACAGCATCGGAGTCGCTGAGGGCTGGCTTTGTGCATGGCACTGGGCCAGGGCTGGAGACAGAGAAATGACCCTGGTGCCATTCAGCAAGGGACAGATGGACTGGTTCAGAGTGTGGTTAGAGGACTCGTGCCAGGGTCTAAGCGCACACAATGGAAAGCCCTAAGGAAGGCAGAGCCGGAGGGTGGAGAGCACCCCGGGCAGGGAGGAGGGACAGGGAGGAGGGCGGGAACAGCTGGAACAAAAGTGCGAAGGTATGGCCGTGAAAGTGGACTCCGTGCTGCATGGGAGTGGATCCCCGACCATTTGGGGTGGCTGAAAATGAGAACAAGAGGAGCAAAAGTGTGCCAGCATGCAACTGTAGGTAAGGAGAGCTCAGGAGGACTGTTTTGCATTGTACAAATGGCATTTAACAAGTGGTGCCTGCAGTGGCCAGATGTGCAGGCAGCGACCAGGCCAGGAGCCATGGATCTCAAGCAGGACCAGGAGGGCCCTGAGTCGGCAGGCTGCGAGAAATATTTGGGACAAGGTTTCTCAAACCCGAGCCCAAGAACCTCTAGGGAGTCCTAGGTTAAATTCGAGGAGTCTTCAAGTTTAACCGGAGAAAGGCCGTCTTAGGAAGCAAGTCTCATTCCCTGAAAAGGGCTCTGCAGTCACGAATTCACTGCACTGACTTTGTCATTTTTTTTTGAAACGAGGGTTGCTCTTGTCGCCCAGGCTGGAGTGCAGTGGAGCAATCTTGGCTCACTGAAACCTCCACCTCCCGGGTTCAAGAGATTCTCCTGCCTCAGCCTCCCGAGTAGCTGAGATTACAGGCGCCGCCACCACACCAGGCTGGTTTTTGTATTTTTAGTAGAGACGAGGTTTCTCCATGTTGGTCAGGCTGGTCTCGAACTCCTGACCTTGTGATCCACCTGCCTCGGCCTCCCAAAGTTCTGGGATTACAGGCGCCGCCACCACGCCTGGCTAATTTTTGTATTTTTAGTAGAGACGAAGTTTCTCCATGTTGGTCAGGCTGGTCTCGAACTCCTGACCTCGTGATCCACCCGCCTCGGCCTCCCAAAGTCCTGGGATTACAGGCGAGAGCCACCGCGTCCGCCATGGACGTTTGTCATTTAACCCTGAAAAGGATCGGGGCTACCTAAGAGATGGCGAATCGTTTGCTGGTATTCTGCCAGCAGGACCCGTTTTCTCCCAGCTGGGGAAGGATGAGAGGCGCAGTTCGGGAGGAAAATGACCACATGCTCGTGGGTGGGAGAGGGAGCCACAAGAGCCCTTGCTGGCTGCCTCTGGGGCCCTCGAACGGGGGCAGGTGCGCGCAGCGCGCGGGAGCGCTCTGATCCCTTTTTCGGCCCTAAAGAAGGCCCAGGCCCCCCCGGACGCCCTGCTCTTCTTTGTCCTGGCCAGGAGCTCTCTCCCCACGGGCCGGTGCCGGGACCTGGGAGTTCGTCAGACCGTGGACTTCACCTCCCGCTCTTCAGGCCCGCGACCGCTTCCTCGGCTCCTCGGGCGGCGCGATTCCTCTACGTGAGTCCCGGCGGCGGCCTCAGCCCCTGGGCCGCTTTCCCGGCTTCGAGACCACCCAGAGGAAGCAGGAGAGGAAGCAGCCTCGGCGGGGCCTCGTGCGCCCACAGCCCCCTTAATGTCAGGCGTCTGCCGAGGAACACGGGGCGCCAGGCGAGGGCGGACGCCTGCTGGGCCCAGCGCTGCTCTGCGCGGCCTTCCCAGGAGCAAAACGCTGCGCTTGGGAAACGGAGCTGTTCCCGCCTGCCCGAAGGCTTCTGGCTCCCCTGGTCCTTGTCCCCTGGACGAAGTTGGAGGGGCTGTCCTGGCTCCTGCGGCCTCAGGGGAGGCTGTGGACGACCATGAGAGGGCGACTCAGCAACAGGAGGTGTCTACACCCGCTGAGCCATGGAAAGAGATTTCCACCGAGCGATGGAGAGAGGGTGTCTACACCCCTGAGCGATGGAGAGGGTGTCTACACCCCCTGAGTGATGGAGAGAGGGTGTCTACACCCCTGAGTGATGGAGAGGGTGTCTACACCCCCCTGATATGGAGAGAGGGTGTCTACACCCCTGAGCGATGGAGAGGGTGTCTACACCCCCTGAGTTATGGAGAGAGGGTGTCTACACCCCTGAGCGATGGAGAGGGTGTCTACACCCCCTGAGTGATGGAGAGAGGGTGCTCACACCACTGGAGTGATGGAGAGAGGGTGTCTACACCACTGAGTGATGGAGAGAGGGTGTCTACACCCCCTGAGTGATGGAGAGAGGGTGTCTATAGCCCTGAGTGATGGAGAGAGGGTGTCTACACCCCTGAGTGATGGAGAGAGGGTGTCTACACCACTGGGAGGATGGAGAGGGTGTCTACACCCCCTGAGTTATGGGAGAGAGGGTGTCTACACCCCTGATGGAGAGGGTCAAGACCCCGAGTTATGGAGAGAGAGAGGGTGCTCACACCCCCTGAGTGATGGAGAGAGGGTGTCTACACCCCCTGAGTGATGGAGAGAGGGTGTCTACACCCCCTGAGTTATGGAGAGAGGGTGTCTACACCCCTGAGTGATGGAGAGGTGCTCACACCCCCTGAGTTATGGAGAGAGGTGTCTACACCCCTGAGCGATGGAGAGGGTGTCTACACCCCTGAGTGATGGAGAGAGGGTGTCTACACCACTGAGTGATGGAGAGAGGGTGTCTACACCCCTGAGTGATGGAGAGGGTGTCTACACCCCCTGAGTGATGGAGAGAGGGTGTCTACACCCCTGAGTGATGGAGAGAGGGTGTCTACACCCCTGAGTGATGGAGAGAGGGTGTCTACACCACTGAGTGATGGAGAGGGTGTCTACACCCCCTGAGTTATGGAGAGAGGGTGTCTACACTCTGAGGATGGAGAGAGGGTGTCTACACTCTGAGTTATGGAGAGAGAGGGTGTCTACACCCCCTGAGTTATGGGAGAGGAGGGTGTCTACACCCTGACTGATGGAGAGAGGGTGTCTACACCACTGAGTGATGGAGAGAGGGTGTCTACACCCCCTGAGTTATGGAGAGAGAGGGGTGTCTACACTCTGAGATGGAGAGAGGGTGTCTACACCCCTGAGTGAGGAGAGAGGGTGTCTACACTCTGAGTGATGGGAGAGAGGGTGTCTACACCCCTGAGTGATGGAGAGAGGGTGTCTACACCCCTGAGTGATGGAGAGGGTGTCTACACCCCTGAGTGATGGAGAGAGGGTGTCTACACCCCCTGAGTGATGGAGAGAGGGTGTCTACACCCCTGAGTGATGGAGAGAGGTGTCACACCCTGGAGTGATGGAGAGGTGTCTACACCCCCTGAGTGATGGAGAGAGGGTGTCTACACCCCTGAGTGATGGAGAGAGGGTTCACCCCCTGAGTGATGGAGAGAGGGTGTCTGAAGCACACCCGAGTGATGGAGAGAGGGTGTCTACACCACTGAGCGATGGAGAGAGGGTGTCTACACCCCCGAGCGATGGAGAGAGGGTGTCTACACTTCGAAGGATGAGAGAGGGTGTCTACACCCCGCGAGCGATGGAGAGAGGGTGTCTACACCCCCTGAGCGATGGAGAGAGGGTGTCTGCGTACCCCTGAGCGATGGAGAGAGGGTGTCTACACCCTGAAGCGATGGAGAGAGGGTGTCTACACCCCCCGAGCGATGGAGAGAGGGTGTTCACCTGAGCAAGGAGAGAGGTGTCTACACCCCCGAGCGATGGAGAGAGGGGTGTCTACACTTCGAGCGATGAGAGAGGGTGTCTACACCCCCGAGCGATGGGAGAGGTGTCTACACACCCGAGCGATGGAGAGAGAGGGTGTCACACCTGAGCGATGGAGAGAGGGTGTCTACACACCTGGAGTGATGGAGAGAGGGTGGGTGTTCACACCGATGGCGGAGAGAGGGTGTCTATAGCTCCTGATGGAGTGAGAGGTGTCTACACCTCTTGAGTGATGGAGAGAGGTGTCTACATCCTCGAGTGATGGAGAGAGGGTGTCTACACCCCTATGATGGAGAGGTGTCACACCGCTGAGTGATGGAGAGGGTGTCTACATCCCTGAGTGATGGAGAGAGGTGTCTACACCCCGAGCGATGGAGAGAGAGGGTGTCTATAGCCCTGAGTGATGGAGAGAGGGTGTCTACACCCCTGAGTGATGGAGAGGGGTGTCTATAGCCCTGAGTGATGGAGAGAGAGGGTATCTACAATCTCGCTGAGTGATGGAGAGGGTGTCTATAGCCCTGAGTGATGGAGAGAGGGTGTCTACACCGCTGAGTGATGGAGAGGGTGTGTACACTCCTGAGTGATGGAGATAGGCTGTCTACACTTGTGACTGATGGAGAGAGTGTCTACACTTCTGATTGATGGAGAGGGTGTCTACACTCCTGGGAGTGATGGAGAGGGTGTCTATACTCCTGAGTGATGGAGAGGGAGTCTTACACTCCTGAGTGATGGAGAGGTGCTCACTCCTGAGTGATGGAGAGCAGAGTTTCACTCCTGAGCCCCACATGATGTGTCACAAGCTTCAGGATGGGGCCCTAGGGACTGGCCAAGAGGGATGTGTTCAGGATTGGCTGGTCCACAGCCGGGATCTGCAGTGAAACAGGACTAGAAGCTGACCACCCAAGGACCCAAGAGCCTTAAGGGTGGAGTATCTTGTGAGATTATATGGAAAGGGCTCTCCCGGCCAGGACAGGAGGCATTCTCCCCCGTTGTTAGCACCCTAAAGCTCTACCAGTTGGGGATCACGCTTCTGTGGAGCTGGACCAAGGCTGGGACTTTCCTCCCCACCTTCCTCCTTGAATGGTAACCACAAAACCTGTATGCTTAGTTCACAGACAATGGCCAGACTATCTTCCCACAGTCAGACTACCAGATTTTCTCCTATCCCAACCCACTCCCAAGAGGCTTCACAGGCTGGGACCCCGTGGCCCCTGGTGGCTCCGCTCTTGGACGATGACTTCTCCACTGGTCAGGGGACCATATTTTATCAGGTGAGCCTTTCAAAGCCTGGCAGTCAGGATCCCGCAGCAGGGGAGAAAAAGAGCTGTGTGTATTGCCAGAGTCGCTAAGCTGTGACAGCCCCCAGCAGGACTGAGGCTTAAATATGGGTATGGGAGGAAGCTGTCAAGGGATATTAAGCTGACTCGACCAGGAATAATTCCCAACCCAACCATGAGACTAATCAGAATACCCCAACCCAAACCATGACTGACTCAGGAATACCCCAACCCAACCATGAGACTGACCAGGAATACCCCAACCCAACCATGAGACTGACCAGGAATACCCCAACCCAACCATGACTGACCCAGTGAATACCCCAACCCAACCATGAGACTGACTCCAGGAATACCCCAACCCAACCATGACTGACCAGGAATACCCCAACCCAACCATGAGACTGACCAGGAATACCCCAACCCAACCATGAGACTGACCAGGAATACCCCAACCCAACCATGAGACTGACCAGGAATACCCCAACCCAAATCATGAGACTGGACTAGAATACCCCAACCCAACCATGAGACTGACTCAGGAATACCCCAACCCAACCATGAGACTGACCAGGAATACCCCAACCCAACCATGAGACTGACTCAGGAATACCCCAACCCAACCATGAGACTGACCAGGAATACCCCAACCCAACCATGAGACTGACCAGAATACTCCCAACCCAACCATGAGACTGACTCAGGAATACTCCCAACCCAACCATGAGACTGATCAGTGAATACCCCCAACCCAACCATGAGACTGACCAGAATACCCCAACCCAACCATGAGACTGACCAGAATACCCCAACTCAACCATGAGACTGGGACTCAGGAATACTCCTAACCCAACCATGAGACTGACTCCAGGAATACCCCAACCCAACCATGAGACTGACCAGGGAATACCCCAACCCAACCATGAGACTGACCAGGAATACCCCAACCCAACCATGAGACTGACTCAGGAATACCCCAACCCAACCATGAGACTGACCAGGAATACCCCAACCCAACCATGAGACTGACCAGGAATACCCCAACCCAACCATGAGAAGACCTGCAGGTGATGGGGATGGGAGCTGACAATTCAGCCTTTGATTGTAAAATCAGGCTGTAGGGGGTCTATCCTAACAAGAGTGAGTCAAGAGGGCCTGTCCTGTGCTCCTGGACTGGGTGAATAACTCCAATGAGAGGAAGCACGTGATGAAAGCTACTGCAGGAAGTGTGGACCATGTGCCTGCCATGGACGAAGTGTGGACCGTGCCCCTGCCATGGACAGGGCAGTGTGGAGGCTCCAAGAGGGAGAGTCTCATGCCTGTTCTCAAGGAGCTGCAGATTAGGCATGGGGAGGTAAAAGTGGGCCCGAGTGGCTTTGCTCTCTGGGCCAGTTTGAGCTAAGAGACGCTTGAGTTCAAGTCCAGAGGTCTTGGACGTCTGGGCCAGGACTCTGCATTCTGCACACTGCAGGCCTTCCTGCAGCCCGAGTTTGAATTGAACTTCACGTCAGAAGAGCTCACGGCAAAAATGCAGGCCTGGGACAGGGGAGGGCAGGCCATGCGGGTGGGTCCCCAGGCAGAAAGTGGGGGTCCATGTGCGGGAGTGGGACCCTCGTTGGCTGGTTCTCATCTGCCCTCCTTTCCTAGGAATACGAGACGCTCTATGGTGAACGCAGCCTGCCAGTCCTGCAGGCCGAGTCTTGGATTAGAAAGATCACAAACAATGGCGGCTTCAAGGCCAGGTGGACCCTAAAGGTCACGTGGGTCAATGCCCACGCCTATCCTGCCCAGTGGACCCTCGGGGTGAGTAGACCCGTGGGCAGCTCCCAGGGAGCCATCTGGGAGTCAGACATCCTAGAATCCTAGGCAGGGGCTACTCGTCCAAAATCCTCTCTGGCTCTAGGAAAGATTGCTAATTACAACAGCCCACCCGCTGACCCACTGCCACCCGCCGCTGCTCCCACTGCTGGCGGAGCACTCGCTGTGGGCCCGGCCCGCCTCAGCCCTTTACCTGCTTGACCTCACCGCAAACTGGATATTATTAGGTTGAAACATAGCAAGTGGCGTTTTTGTAAGTCAAAAATGTCTGGCTATTGGGAATTTCATGTGGCTCAACTGGGTATTCTGATCCACATTTTACAGATGAGGAAGACAATGGTTAGAGAGGTTAAGTAACTTGCTCAAAGTCATGCCACTGGAAAATGGCAACGCCAGGCCTGCAGTGGAGCTTCTTCTGACTCCAGCCTCGGCCGTTAAGCACGGGCTCATCCAATGGGCATGGGGCACAGCACACCATCTCCCCTGTCCTCCCTCCGAGGACCCGCTCTTGTAGTCACCAAGTTCTTCCTTATGCCTGATCTAAAGTCACTCATTTCTTCATTCACCTGACAAAAGTTCACGGGTCACCTACCACGGACAACGTGTGCGCCTTCAGCGAACCCCAGTGTCATCCATGCTGTTCAGGTGGAGGGGACAATTTGGACAATGTCCTTAAATATCCGCGAGGGAGCTAACGAAGCCTCCTCTCTAGCTCTCTGGTATCTTGGCTAATCTCTCAGGTTTTGGTAGCTTTCTCTTGCAAACACTCATCTAACTGAATTAGAACCCAGAACCCTTTATCTCCCTTCCCGGAAGAAAGTCACTGAAAGGCAAATCCACCATGGTAAGTGTGTTCACACCCAGGGTGAAAGCTGCCCTCATTGACCCAAAACATGCCAGCATTTTGGGCCCACGCCTTTGCTGTGGGCAGACCAGGAACAGGTGCTGTACATGTCCAGGCAGGGCTGTGGGACGGGCAGGGGGACATAAGAGAGGAAACCCCGGATCTCTCACGGGCATCCCTGTGTTTTCTTCCACCCACCCCCAGAGCAACACCTACCAGGCCATCCTCTCCACAGATGGGAGCAGGTCCTATGCCCTGTTTCTCTACCAGAGTGGTGGGATGCAGTGGGACGTGGCCCAGCGCTCAGGCAACCTCGTGCTCATGGGCTTCTCCAGGTAGGATGGGAGGGGTTGTCAGCACTGAGCAGATGGCAGGTAGGGTGCAGAGTGGGGTTTCACTGCACACACGCTCCCACCCTGGGGCAAGATGTGAACCCTCCTGGCTGGTGCTTCTGACTCACACTGACTCCAGCTCCCGCTGGGCCGGGCATCTGGCTGCTTCCCACGACAAGAACACCCATTTGTCCACCACGCCCTCTCCCATCCCAGTCCCCGCGCATTGTAGTAATTCCCAGAGCTTTGGCTTCCCTGATTTCCACTACACTAGCTGGCCTCTCTTACCTTCTCAAATATCATGATAATAACAGCCAAGACTGATGACACTAACACTTCATGTACATTATTGCATGTCATGATCACAACCACCCCATGAGGCAGATACGATTTATCATCCCCACTCTACAGATCAGGAAACTGAGATACAAATAGACTGACAATTTGCCTAAAGTCCCAGAGCTGGGAAGTGGCAATGTGATTTGAACCCAGACATCTGAGGCTAGAATCTGCCTTCCCAACTTCCTGAGAATTCCAGGGGGCACCAAAAGCTTATAAGGAGCTGGTGGTGAAGGGAGAGAGGAGGCACGGGGCTGTGGGCGGTTGAAATATGGATTTCCGTGTGTGGGAGGCCGTCTCCGACGCAACAGTGCACCGTTTCTGTCTCATATGCTGGTGTGTAGCAATCAGTGCAAAGGCCACGTCTTTTGTTCTTCACTTGATCTTAGCCAAAAGGCCGAGAAGCGATGTCTTTCGTTCTTGATAATTACTGCAAATGGTCTTCTCCTACACTGAGTGTGCTCAGGTTACCCCTTTGATTACACTGCTTTCACTAGTTACTTGGTGTGCTATGAAGGTGAAAGGAGGGGAATTACCCAACTGCCTAGGAATTTCACATGGTCCAAGTACATCCAAGGAAGGTGTCACACAGGGGTGCGTCATCCTGCTTGTGTCAGGGAGGAGGAAAAGCCCAAGAGTCCCCACTCTGCAGCAGGCACCCGGGATGGGGCTACAGGCCGCCGCTCCAGGCTTCTCTCCTTCCTGAGCGTGCTTGGACCCCACACCTGCAGATGGTGATGGCCATAGTGGTGGTCGTGGTGGCGATGGTGGTAGTGTTGGTGGTGGTGGCGGTGATGATAGTGTTGGTGTTGATGGTGGTGCTGATAGTGGTGGTGGTGGAAGTGGTGATGGTGGTAGTGGTGGTGATTTTGGTGGTAGTGTTGGCAGTGGTGGTGGTGGCGATGGTGGTAGTGTTGGTGTTGGTGGATTAGTGGTAACTGATGGTGGTAGTGGTGGTGAGTGGTGGAAATGGTGATGGTGGTAATGGTGGTGATGGTGGCGATGGTGGTAGTGTGTTGATGGTGGTGAGTGCGTGATTAGGTATGGTGATGATGGTGGTGGTATTGGTGTTGGTGGTGGTGCTGATGGTGGTAGTGTTGGTGGTGGTGGGGATGGTGGTAGTGTTGGTGGTGGTGGCGGTGGTGGTGGCAATGGTGGTGGTGGTGGTGGTGGAGGTGGTGGTGATGGTGGCGATGGTGGTAGTGGTGGTGGTGGTGGCGGTGGTGGTGGTGGCAGTGGTGGTGGTGGTGGTGGTGGTGGAGGTGGTGGTAGTGTTGGCGGTGGTGGCGGTGGTGGTGGTGGCGATGGTGGTAGTGTTGGCGATTGGTTACGTGGGGGTGGTGGTAGTGGCAGTAGTGGTGGTGGTGGTGGTGGTGGAGGTGGTGGTGGTGGCGATGGTGGTAGTGTTGGCGGTGGTGGAGTGGTGGTGGTGGCGATGGTGGTAGTGTTGGGCGGTGGTGGAGGTGGTGGTGGTGTTGGTGGTGGTGGTGGTGGTGGTGGTGGTGGGAGTGGTGATGGTGGCAGTGTTGGTAGTGTTGGTGGTGGTGGTGGTGGCGATGGAAGTTGGTGATGGTGGCAGTGTTGGTGGTGGTGGTGAGTAGCAATGGTGGTAGTGTTGGCGGTGGTGGAGCGGTGGTGGTGGTGAATGGTGGTAGTGTTGGTGGTGGTAGGCGGTGGTGGTGGTGGCAATGGTGAGGTGGTGGTGGTGGTGAGTGAGTGGTGGTGGTGAGTAGTGTTGGCCGGTGGTGGAGGTGGTGGTGGTGTTGGTGGTGGTGGCGGTGGTGGTGGTGGTGGTGGTGGTGGAAGTGGTGATGGTGGCAGTGTTGGTAGTGTTGGTGAATTTTTAGTGGTGGCGTGGAGGTGGTGATGGTGGTAGTGTTGGTGGTAGGTGGTGGTGACAGTGGCAGCACCTGTTGTATCGAGGCCTCACTCAGTTCTGAGGGATTCGCAGATGTTACTGCATTGAATCCTCACTGTACCCAGCAGGTAGTGCTACTTCAATCCCTTTACACAGATGCCAGCTAAGAATCAGAGAGGTCAGTAGTTGTCCGTGATCACCAAGCTGGTAATTAGGGATCAGCAGTTGAATCCGTCACTGCTGCTCCAGAAACTGGCTCTTAACCATCATCCCACTGTCCCTAGAGTCTGTCCTGCTCCAAACCCTCTGCTTGTTGAAGGGAAACAAACAGAAATGAGGCCTGAACTCTCTTGTTTTCATGCCTGTCTAGTGTGCATGGACCTGCCAGTTTTCTGCAGAGCGGAATTAGTTGGGAGCCTCCTACCTCTGCCCATCTGTCTCGTCCCCTCTGCTGCTCAGTGCTGAACAAACAAGCAGAGGTTGGCGGCCCTGACCCTGCCACCACCTAGCTGGCTGACCCAGCTGCTGACTAGCCAAGCGGGATAGATGGAGCCCTTCCTTGCAACCGCGAGGCAAGAGCCTGTCGCGACAGAGGCCTGAAAGTCTCTCCTTCCCTGCAGTGGAGATGGCTGTTTCGAAAACAGCCCACTGATGTCCCAGCCGAGGTGTGAAGTGTCGCCCTGATAGTTCTGAATTCCAGCTCAGGTAAAAGTGCCACCTTATCCACCCCTCTTGTGGTCTCAAGCCTCGATGTGTCCTCCAGCCACACACCTTGATCCACAAGGGAGCCGCTCCTAACGTCACCACCATCCTGAAGGGCCTCCCCTGCACAGTCAACCTCCTCTACAGGTCTGGGTGGGATATGGCACACATCGGGGGCCGCTGTTTCCTGCACCCCTGGACACAGCACCGTCTCAGAGGCTCGTCTTCTCCCTCAGACAAACCAACCCAAGAGGGCTCTCAGGGGCTGAATCGCAGAAGTGAGGACAGGGTCTTGTGGGAGGTGGGATTTGAATGGGCAGTTCAGACAATTCTCCAAGTGTCCTGCCCAGAGCAGGAATAGAACCAGGTGAGCTCCTTTAAGAAAATCTACCGGCCGGGCGCAGTGGCTCCGCCATAGCCAGTCCCAGCACTTTGGGAGGCTGAGGTGGGGCGGATCACTTGAGGTCAGGAGTTTGAGACCCGCCTGGGCAACATGGTGAAACTCTGTCTCTACTAAATACACAAAAATTAGCCGGGCATCGTAGCGCACACCTGTAATTCCAGCTACTCGAGGCTGAAGGAAGGAGAATCGTTTGAACCCCGGGAGGTGGAGGTTGCAGGAGCCGAGATCACTCCTGCACACTCCTGCCTGGGTGACAGAGCGAGACTCCATCTCAGAAGAGAATCTGAAGGAAAGGCCGACATTCATCATCATCATTTACACAGGCACCTGCTGTGCTGGACACTGTGCTAACAGCCAGAAACATTTTAAAATGGAAAAAGATCAACTATGTTTACTCTCAAAAAGAGCTTTCATGTAGGTAGAAAGACAAGTGTCAAGAGGCAGGCAGTGGCGCCTTCTCGACTCAGTCCAGAGGCCCCAATGGGGAAAAAAACAATAATTTCCAAATCTTGATAGGATAAAGGACAGTTTAGCCTTAGAAGACCCAGCCCGTGAATTGTAGTATAAATCAGTTCTATATTTGTTCTGTAGCAACCACTTTTGGTAAAAAACAGGCGCTAAGTCAAGCAATGGGCTTCGGGGAGAATCCTTGCCCACCTAGCGTAGGCCATTTTTCTCTCCCCATCCCGGACCCAGGCCCAGGCCCTGGATAAGCCCTTTCTCTTCCCATCTCTGACCCCAGGCCTCGGGGGCTGCAGTTCTACAGGCTACACCGGGAAGAAGGCCTAACTACCGTCTCGAGTGCCTGCAGTGGTTGAAGAGCCAGCCTCAGTGGCCCAGCTGGGCGGAACCAGATCTCCTGCCTTGTTCCTGGCAGCAGGGACGATGGGACTTACGATTCCAACCTGTCAGCATATTCAAGCACCACCTTCCCGCCCCCACAAGCTCACCCACCGCCCTCTCTGCTCGCGCCCTCTTCCCAGAAACAGCCCCTGCTTGTTCCCGCCCCTGCCCTGGCATCCCGGCCTGGGCCTGGTGGGACTGGACATTCCGTCTCTTGAGCCTCGGCAGGCAGCTCTGCAACCACGTCACAAGCGAGAGGCGTGTGCAGCTCGGGCCGTGGGGAGAGTTTCGTGAAGGCTGGCATGTGCAGCATCACAGCAGTTCGGTCGTGAGTCCCATGGAATCTCAACCCCCCCACCTTCCCAGCCAAGCAGGGGACCCTCAGCATGAAACCTCTTTCCTCATTCCTTCAGACCCTTCCCTCTCTGGGCCTCCATTTCCCTGATCTGGTAACATTAGGAAGCAACATCCCCTGTGGGCATTCGAGGATGTGTGAGCTGAGTGCCTCTTTGCCCATCTCCGTGCCTGGCTCATCCCTGGGCCAGGTGGAGCCATCTCTCAGGCAAGAAGAGGCGCCTGGGGCTGACCCTGTCCTGTAGACCCAGATGGGCCCAGGATGTTTGGGAAGACTGAGAATCAGCTCCCATAGGAGCCCTCCAAAGGAGCTGCAGAGCACAGGGTGTAGGTCACGTGGTCTGTGTCCTCCCGTTCTCTCCCTGTCCCTTGGCAGTTTCCGGGTTCCCTGACTGCTCAGCCCTTGCCTCCCCCCACTCCCAGCACGTTGAGCGTCAGTACTTGGCTGTCCACCACTCCAGACAGGAAATCTGCTCTACCATGCGCCCTGCTGCACAGTGGCCC